AGAATCTATTGTTAGAAACTATCATTATGTAAACCACTTTAAAACGTCTCACATGATGTTAGATGAAATTTCTTTTAAATTATATATAAAAGTTAAATGCTGGGTAATATAACTAGTTCTTTGAATTCTTTGAAGATTTAAGTTAGTTTTAAATTCTATAGAATTTGCAAAAACAATTTATATTTCACAGAACAAATGCAACTACAATTTAACCTTATAAAAACTTATCAGACATACTTTAGTAAATAACCAACAATTTATAACTTTTTAAAAGTGGATCTTGGCATTTCTTTGTATGCTTCAGAGGATTTTCATAATGTTCTAAAGTTTCTTTGCCTTAAAGTGAAATAAGACTTCTATCTCTTTAAGAGAAAAAAAATTAAAATTTTGACAGAGGATGTTGTAATCTATTCTATTCAAAAGGATAAATTTTCCTTTGTACAATCATGTTGCTTAAAGGTTAATTTTGTCATTCATTTGCTTCTGTGATTTCTTGTCCTGAAAATTGCAGAATACTGTGTCTTTGGAGTTGGTAAATCTTGCCTCTTTTGCTCTCTGATCTCTCATTGCTCCAGAAAGCCCGATAGCAGTGGCAATCCTCCAAGTGAGCAGTGTGTTTGCTTTAAAAGGATCAGTGGATTATCTACTCTTAAAAGTAATAGACACATAGAAATAATATTATGTTAATCCTAATGCTATTTGTGTATTCCTGTTAGGTTAATGTTTTGAAATACTTGTATTTTACTCTCAAAGATGTATAATTCTCTCTCTTTCTCATAGAATTTAAAGTTTTTCCAATAATTTGGTAGGATTGGGTCAAAAGTCAGATTTGTGCATGACTAGAATCCCATCTCTGAATATCAAATCCATGTCTTAACATTTTTTTATCATTTGACCTGTAGATAAGAACAACTAGTTGTCATTAGGACACTAACATTCCTTCACTCTATTCTCTAGACCAAATGTCTGCGCTCTTCAACAGATTTTGGGCACCAAAAAGAAATACTTCAGCACTTGTAGAAACTGGTATCAAGGTGCCATCTGTGGAAAGAAAACGTAAGTTCTCATTTTTTTTTTCATAAAATGCCAGTTCCAAGGCAATACCATGATGTATATAACTTTCTTTGGATGTACACACCATTCTTCCTGAAAATACTATCCAAAATTGTGGGAGGGATTTAACGAAAAGAAAATAACACATATGTAAATGAAGAAATTCTTCTTGCATCACTGTTACTGCTGGAAGTCAGATTTGTACCTGAATCCGTGTGGTGGTCAGAGAGAAGCAGATTGCATGGGCATTTGATTTGGTTTAGAATCCACGTGTGTGAGCGACTGATGATGTCATTTTGGTCTTGGTTTGCCCCTTTTTGGCAAGACAGTTAACTTCTGTGCTTCAGTTTCTTCATTTTCCTAGAGCAAAATGGGCCAAAACCAAAACTAATTTAAAATATCAAGGTTTCTGAGGGCAAATTAAATTTTACTTCCGGTTACTTGGATATGACCTAAAGTTCTCTAGTTTACCTCAAGGTTTTCATCAAAGTTAAAAATTGGAAAAAACTTGAGTTTCATTTCTTCACTTAATTGAGTGATTCCCAGCTCAAGCTACTAGATCCCCAGAGGGTCACAAAGGTGATAATGAATACCCACCATAATATTTAATATTTCAGTAGCTGAGAGGATGATTATTATTTAAGTTATTTAGCTTAAGCTTAAAAACACATTATTTATTATTTAATAGACATGCTTTGCTGTTTATTCTACCAATATGTATTGACAGAAAAAGACAAAAATTCTCTACATACAAAGGTTAAGAAACAGCTGGGCATGGCAGCCTGTAATCCTAGTACTCTGGGAAACTGAGGTGTGCAGACCACCTAAGCTCAGGAGTTCGGGACCAGCCTGAGAAAAAAATAAGACCCAATGTCTACTAAAAACAGAAAACAAGCCTGCTGTTGTGGTGGGTGCCTGTAGTTCCAGCTACATGGGAGTCTGAGTCAATAGGATCACTTGAGCCCAAGAGTTTGAGATTGCTATGAAGTGAGACCCTGTCTCAAAAAACAAGCAAACAAGCAAAACAAAGGCTGAAAACCACTCATATGGTCCAAATTCTTTATTTTTACAAAGAAGGAGCTAAGTCATGGATATGATAAGTGATGTCATCAGAAAGGTTTTTAAATGCCATCTCCAGGCAAGAAAACAGTGGAAATAGCTCCTCCTGTCTTCCAGTTAATTTGTTCTCCATTCCCAGTGATGGGTGCCCTGAGAACCAAAAGATCTAAAGAACCTGTTTAGCATATCATCTTTACAATTCAGTTACCCTAAATAGGGTAAAGGGATTGGTTACAAATGTATTTCTAAGCGAATAATATTGGTATAACTACTAAATATAAAATTATTTCACTTCTTGGAGATTTTATCTGTGAAACATTTATTTAATACCTTTATTAGTGGTTTTCTGACAAGATAAAATGAATTGGTGAATGTGAAATTATTGTGTAACTAAAACTCACAATATCAGTTGTCCTTAAACTATTTTAAACAAATGCATATAAGTAGGTGGGAAGAGAGTTGTGAGCACATTCCTGTTTGAAATTAGCTGGGCTGTATCTCCCATGGTAACCACATCTACACCACCCTGGCCATTCCCTGTTCATTTGCTTAATTGAGTTTTAACTTAATGTTATTTTTTGAGCTGAATATTATTCCTGTTAGTTTGCAAACATCTATTAGACTTATGAGTCATTCATGCAATTATAATGCAAGTCAACGGCTGTAGTGGTTTCTGCCATGCTGCAAGCCAGGCCTCAGAACTCAAAGGGCCTGTTCTCATGTCTTTGTTCTGTATGTTCTTACATACCATGAGGCATATGTGATACAACACTAACTAGATAAGGAAGAACTTGCTCCCTGAAATGTTTATGGAAATCTTTATTATATCTTTCCTGGAAGTTAGAAAAGTGTGCTCTCATCTTTCTTTAACTGTCTAAATATATCAGAGATGCCAAAACTTATACAGACCATATGCCAAAGTTATTTCTTGCTTTTTGTTAAAAAAAAAAAATCCTACTTTGAAGCCTACCTTTTTACCAGAAATGTAACAGTGTCTCCATTGTTCAATCACCTTAGCTTATTTTCCCCAAGTAGCTTAATTTCCACAACCCATTTATATCTGCACACTGACATACTGGTTTCAAATAACCAAAGAAATCAATAACATTGGCAAGAAGAATGCCTGATTTGCCACTTGCTTGCTTCTGCTAAAAGTTCTAAAGATGTCTTTGGGACTTCATCTCTCAGTTGAGAGAAATGTTTGCTTTCTGGTTGATCAGTTGCTTTGGGTTTTTGGAGAAGTAATTTGGACAGGCCTAATGATACATATGTCCTAGGTTGAAGACAGTGCCCACAATACAATACGAGTACTCTGCAGACTCCCCTGTCAGTGGCTTTAAGTGGCACTCTGAAATTTTAGATCCTCTTCAGAAGACACAGATGAATTTCCCATGCGTAGAGCAATACATACCAGTGATTTTTCTTTATTCTTATTCTGTCCTGCTGATCATAAGGGAAAATTGAATTTTTCTGCAGCATAAATTTCTCCTGAAAAAACTACTTTTTCTTTAGCTTCTATAATATCTACTCAGATAATCATATTGTTCAGTCATTAGCTGAAATTACACTCAGCTGTTCTGGAATTTTATCTTATCTGGTGCATCTCTACATGAAGACTCAAGTGTGGGTTGTATTAGCATGTGTTAGAGAATTTTTGTTTTATTAACAATTTCCTTTCTATTTACCTCTTTGTATCCAAATATTCATAATTATTTATGTGGGGAATGAATGTAAATAAAATTGTTTTAGGGGCTCTATTAGGTTTTGTATAAGGTCCTATAAAGCTTGTATATGTTTCTCATACCAACTATTCTTAAAATTACATTAAAATTAGAGAATAACTTGGAATTGACATTTCCCATTTAGTTTTGTCTGTTTTTTTAATCTATTATCCTTAAGCCAATAGTCCATGCTAGAAATTTTTCATTATAAAAATAGAGAAATAGAAATTCAAGGTTATAAGTAGGACCTCAAATCATATATAATTACTTAATAGACCTGTATTCAATTTGAAAACATTTATTTTATTTTATATAACTGTATAAAATATCTTATATCATTAAAATTTTTACTTGTTGTAAAAATTTGCTTGTATTACCATTTTTATCATACTAAGAAAAGATTTTCATTCTTATAGTTGGCAATCTTTCCCCTAACTCTAAATTCTTTCACTCATTCCTGATTCTTGAGTACAATGATCACAACTAGATAAAAAAGCAGAAAAGAAATAGCACTTAAATTGTCTAATTTTTGTTCAGAAACATCACCAAATAATCATTCTGTAAGGGATTATCATAATCTGTATGAAGTGGAATTTATCAATTAAAAATTATACAATGGTATATATTTATTTTTTGTTTATAATAACATCCCCATTTCCAAGTATTGTTTGATAACATTTATATTCATATTTCTATTGAAAGGAAACATAAATCATTACATAAAATTTTAATTAAGAAATGCTACCTATGTTAGATCCTGAAGAAGTCCAGAAAATGTTCAGTGGAATTTGATAAAATGAAAATCAAGGTTATATCATTAATAAAGTGAAAAATAGAAGTTATTATGTAAATAAATTTAAATTATAACTTTCCCTCAACATTTTGGAAATTAAATTTATTCTGTGTATACTTTGCTTGACTTCTTTGGTCTGTTGATTTGCTCATTGACTGTAGAACATTGCACACTTTGTTAACTGAACAGCATGGCATTTTCTTTAATTTGGTCCTCTAATAACTTGAAACAAAGTTATTTAATTTGTTTGTTCAAACTCGATAGAAATGGAAATAGATTTTAAAGTTTATGTTTAATATGATCACATTAATAAGTACTGAAAATTCAAACCAAAAATAGCAATGAGATAGCATTTTATTGATTAGAATGAGTTATTATATTTTCTGATGTTTCTGATAACTTTATATTAATGACCATTTCTAGCAATCTGTAGTTTACAAAATGATTTCAAAAGCATTATTTTATTTGAAAATCACAATTACCCTTTGGGTAGGTATTACAGTTACTACATCCATATAAATACTTGGGGAAACTGAGACTCAGATTTATTAAATGAATTGTTTAAGGTTCACATGTCTGTCAAGTACTAGAATAGGGACTCAAATTTCATTCTTTTGTATCAATATCCTAGAATTTTTCCATAGTACCAGGAGGCTGTAGAGAGAAAACAAATTAATATAAATACTTGGTGCCAGGAAACAAGCCTATATATAATTTCTAAACTCTGAATAAATTTTGGTGATAAGTGATATGTTTGCCAAATTCATGTTAAAATCCATGGTATATGGACTTTGTTTTAATAATACTTTTCTTCTAATATACAGGACTGTGTTATATGAATGTTGCCCTGGTTATATGAGAATGGAAGGAATGAAAGGCTGCCCAGCAGGTAAAATCTTAGTTTCCTGAATTAAAGGAAGAACTTGTTTTCAGCTTCTTCATTTGCAAGAGAAAAGTTGAGGTTGCTATAGAGAAGCTCTGTGTGTGTGTGCATTTAGCATCATGATAAATACAAGATATATCCCTGATACCTTTGTGTTAATCATGAATTGATAATGGTGGTAAAATATTAGAAAAAATTTCTTATGCACTAGATCATGAGCAATACAACAAACAGAAGCTTAGTTATAAATTTAAATTAATTCAGTTTTCCTATGAGAACAAAAGTCCTCTCTCAAAATCCCTTTCTTTGAACTTATAGAAGAATGAGAAACTTACTACCTGGCAACGGATCATTTCCTCTAGTTAAAAGGCTCTGATTTTATAATGTTCCTTTTATTGAAATTTGGTTTTCTAAAAATCTGCCAACTAGAGAAAAAAAATAGTTCATCTAGTTTCTTTTTGAGATGACAGCCATTCAGACATTAAATGCCAACCACTATGCCCAACTTCCAGCTACCCCCTCATCCCCAACAGGATCCTTCTCTTCTCTGGGCTGATCATCTCCAGTTCTTTTATGTGACATAGACTCTGGAGCCCTCGCCCTTCATAGACTCTGGAGCCAACCCATAGAAAGTCCCCACTGCAGTAGCATTTTTCTGATTATAATCCCAGACTGATATCTATAATGCATATGGGTCTGAGCAGCTGAGAGAATATCAAGACGAGGACCTCATTTGGGGACACCTTGTCATTGGTAACCTTGTCAGATCATTAGCTCATACTGAATCTGTAATCAATTAAAGTTCATTATATATTATTTTACTGAACACTATTAAGTCAGATCTCCCTATGATTTGTTTTTTCAACTTAGACATAGGACGTACTTGGACCACTGGTAAATTTAACCTTGTTTATTAACTCAATTCCTTCATCTTTTGGGGCCTTTTAAAATCCTGATTTTATAATTTAATTTATCTATTATATTATATTATGTCACTAATCTTGGGATAGTCAAAAATACAGTAGCCATCCAAATTACACTAACTTTAAAATCATATACAGTCAGAAAAAATAAGTTGGCTGCACATTGCTGGATAAATCCTATCTGTTGACATTCATATGTGAATCTTCTGAGGCTCGGGAGAAATCTTACAGAAGTGTTAGATACTTTGATCTACTTTATTCTTGAAATTTTAATGAGAAAAATCAGGTCTAAATTTTTTTTTAGGAACCCAAGTGTACAGAAATTATATCTTCAAAAAACATATTTAATATTTAATTTAACTGAATTATTATTGACATAGCCCAATTGAGACCTAAAGAGAAAAAATGTTAAACCAGGATGATAATTTAATGTTTATTTTTATCAATGAAAAGAATATATGACATGATAGTTTTCAATAGCATTTTATTATTTAGCACTCAAAAAGTAACTTACATATACAATTGACGATTAATAGAATGTTATCACAAAAATTGTTAGCTAAATATATCAGGGGCACTAAATGTAAAGTTTAAATGATTATGAATTAATATCACCAAAATATCATCCTCAGTATTTGTTCATTTCTTGATTATTTCAGTTTTGCCTATTGACCATGTTTATGGTACTTTGGGCATCGTGGGAGCCACCACAACACAGAGCTATTCTGATGTCTCAAAACTGAGGGAAGAGATCGAAGGAAAGGGATCATTCACTTATTTCGCACCGAGTAATGATGCTTGGGACAATTTGGATTCTGTAATTAATTTTTTTGATCAATATATTTATTATTGCTATTATTATTATTTCATTTTAATTAATTTATTATTTTGGATATTAATAGAAATGTTATATCTTTCCTTTGTACATATGTGAACAGGTTGAGTTACTGATGGAGATAAAACATTTTAATATATTGATAAATAAGATAACTCCCAGCAGACTTACAGACCAATTTAAAAAAAGAGCAAACTAAGAATGGACTAAAAAGAACATTTATTATCATCTGTTTTCTTTCCTTTTTATTTATGAGGAAATATATGTAATTTCAGATGACATATCTAATACAAAGTTAAGAAACCTAGTGGAATTTAAACACTATCATAAGCTATGTTATATGTGCACAGCTATATTTTATTGTATACGTTTAATTATATGTAAACATACATGGCTATCCAGAAATTGTCAGATTTGTAAACATATGTGTAGATAGTTAAATGAAATGTTGTAAACAATACATTCGATTTTCAGACTTTTGTGCACAGTCTAGTTTATAACACTCTAAATTATGACTCAATGGCCAAATCTATAAAACTGGTATAGAAATATGTCCTATACCTTCTCCTTAGTATGAAGTTGAATTGATGATTATTACTAGAGTCAAACACACTTCAAATGTAGGCATAGTCCTATAGACATTCTCTTGTTATGCTAGCTGTGCAGTTAGTTGCATGCATTATGGAGATTTCTCTTCTGATGGGGCTTTTTCACATCTCTAATCACCTTCCTGATTCCTTTGGTGACTACTCTTCTTCCTTGCCTTAAGATGAAACTTATAAAAATCTCTTCTAGGAACTCAACTCAAATATTTTGAAATCTGTGCTTCTTGTGCTTGCTTTCTCCTTGGAACTCCAGAAGAGCACTTGGAATGCCTGTCTTCATCCTTCTCCTTGGATAGACCATCTGCATCTTTTATTTATTTTTAAAATTTTAGAATATTACAGGGGTACACACATTTTGATTACATAATTTTGTTTATATATTTTTAGTTAATGTTATAAGTATGCCCCTCACCCAGAAAATGTGCATTGCACCCATTAGGTGTGAATTTACCCCCCCCCCACCTACTTGATTTCCACTGTGCACAAAAGTGTTGATTGACTAGTTATCTAAAGTGTATGTCACTTTCTTTCTGTCCATAAATAATTGCTTTTCTGTGACCTTTTCCACAATTGGGAGTACCAGTCTCAAAGTTCAGACTTGAAAATTGTGAGCTGTCCTTACTTCCCCTCTTCAATTCTTACAAATTGCTGTTAGTCAGCCATGCATCATGTTTCATCTAAGTAGTCCTAACTTATACCTTCCTTTCTGCTGTGCATTGCCATTCAATTCACTTTCCTGTAGCCTAGTTCTGATCATTAACTTCCAACACCACAAAATCTTCAGTGAGTCCTCATTGCCAGCTTCATTTTACTTTTTAAAGTTCTCTATACTGTTGTCCAACATACCTTTTTAAAATTCTTTCTTAATATTATCTGAGAAACATAACATATATTAACTACACTGAACAACTTTTACTCTCTCAATATTCACCCTGTGTCAGAAACTTAACTTAGAATGACCACCTCCTCATCCCTACTGATTTAAATCTTATCTAGTCTTCAAGATCTATTTTCGAAGATCTATTTTCGGACTACTTTCCAAATAGCTGGGGATCCTCATTTGATCCCTGCAAGCCTTTTTTTTTCCTCTGTCCTGTGTCTTATTATGTGTCCTATTACCTGCTGCTATATGATAAGTATCTCAATGGTTGAGACTATGCTTTACCTATTATTGTATTTCCTGTAGCATGGAGTAGAGTGTTATATAATACATGTATTGGATAGATAAAAGGGTACAGGATTGTCAAATTCTTGAATTTTTTATAGGATCATTGTAAAATCCTTGCTAAAACTCAAGTGTTATACACAAATATAATGTGATTTTTGTTTTGTTTGCCACTTAAAATATCTTAAGTATCTTATAATTTCATACCCCCCCTAAGTCTTATCATCTTACCACTAATCACTTATGTTAAGATTGTCCTTTCTTAAAAACTTGTTCTGTCTAAGTGCTTTATCAAAGTCAGGACCCTTCATCGAGTAATTGAACTTAGAAAGTTCCTTAACCAATTGGAATACTATGATGTTAAGTTATTTATTTCAATTTTGTATTATCATCTGATTATGCAATAAGAAAACAAAGAGTAAGAATAGTGTGATCATAAGACTTTTAATAATGACCCACAATAACTTAAACTTCTATCATTTCCTTTTTTTCTAGGATATCCGTAGAGGTTTGGAGAGCAATGTAAATGTTGAATTATTGAATGCTTTACACAGCCACATGGTTAATAAGAGAATGTTGACCAAGGACTTAAAAAATGGAATGATTATTCCTTCAATGTATAACAATTTGGGACTTTTCATTAACCATTACCCTAATGGGGTAAGTTTCACTAATTGAAAGTAAATTTCAGAGAATTCTCTCCTGTAATTTTGTCTGTACCTTTTATGTAAGGTTCATAACAATAATAAAATGTTAGTGAGAAGTGCTATATTATGATTTTCCCCAAATCTAGGTCATGTAAATTTTCAATCCAGTTACTAATTTCCACTGAAGAATGATTATGAAGGACAAATTACATTAACAGTTCATTGATAGTTTACTTACGTATTCTTAAAAAGGAAAGTTTAATAGTTGGTGTGTTTAAAACAATTTTTAAACAAGGCAAAAAAATAATCAGAGAATGAGCGTTCTTTCATTCACCTTCTGTATACAATAGTAATAGTAATGGAGTTTCTTGTATGTTTGTATTAAATCTTTGTGGAAAACTGCCAGTGGGGTCATAGGACTTTTTCAATATTCAAATTCTCTAAGGACAAAATAGGTCAGCGATGAAGGAACATTTAGGAAGTTGTTGTAATAGAACTGACTGTATTTATGCAATAAATGGGTTTATCTCTCTCAAACTTACTTTAGAATTAATTAAACTTCTTTATATAATTCATTAGTCTATATTACAAATAGGCTATCTGCATAAAAGAAAAAGAAGAATAAAAGTAATAATTTGGATGAAAAGAATACTTTCACCTTATGTTTCCAGAAATGTTAAGTGCGACTTGACTTGGGTTATGAACTGGTTTCATTTTCTTTTTTTTTCTTTTTAAGATGTAGCAGTATATAAGTCAGCATCCACAGAATTTCATTTAGAGTGTAGGTTCCTTTATGTTACATTTACTGATATGAATAAGAAACTGGGGATAGGCTTTCAGTGTCAGTGGTCAATGGATGTTCTGATTTCAGCACTTTGATTTTTTCCTTTTTTTTTTTTTGCTGGGGCTGGGTTTGAACCTGCCACCTCCGGCATGTGGGGCCAGCACCCTACTCCTTTAAGCCACAGGCACCACCCACTTTGATTTTTTCAAATAATTGTAGGTCGTCACTGTTAATTGTGCTCGAATCATTCATGGGAACCAGATTGCAACAAATGGTGTTGTGCATGTCATTGACCGTGTCCTTACACAAATTGGCACCTCAATTCAAGACTTCATTGAAGCAGAAGATGAACTATCATCTTTCAGAGTAAGTCCAAGAGCAGCAATTGTCTTGGATCATTGAAATCCTTCCTCTTCTCCTGTCAATAAACAATAAATTGCTATCAAATATGGCAGAAATGTAATGACTTATTGTTTGAAATTAAACCATTTTCATTTATGTAAGAGAATTTATCTGCCCATATGAAATAATAATATTTTTGTGGACATGGTAGGTAGAGAATGATCAGTCATGTGAGTGTCATGTATTTAGTGTATTTAGAATGTGTTCACAACAGTTGTATGTATATATGTACTGTTGAATATTGCTACAGTCACACAAACATGGGCAGAATTCCCATTCTTGAAAACTTAATTTGAAGAAAGTTAGAAAAGACATTGTCAATTATGCACAAAAGTGATGTTTTAAATATCTAATAAGAACAAACATCTATGGTGAAGGAATCAACTCCCTCATGTCAGCCTGGGCTTAGAATTTTCTTTTGGATTTGCCATTTGGCATGCTTTGCAAGCCTCTGTAAAGCACATTTGTGTTTCAGGCAGCTGCCATCACATCGGACATATTGGAAGCCCTTGGACGAGATGGTCACTTCACACTCTTTGCTCCTACCAATGAGGCTTTTGAGAAACTCCCACGAGGTGTTCTAGAACGGATCATGGGAGACAAAGTGGCTTCTGAAGGTAGTGTATTGTTTTTCTCTCTAAGAAGTTTCCCAGCATTCTGAGAAGAAAAGGAAATGAAAAAGAGACTACTCAGGAGGCTGAGGCAAAAGAATCACCTAAGTCCAGGAGATGGAGTTTGCTGTGAGCCGTGTGACACCATGGCACGCTACTGAGGGTGACAGAGTAAGACTCTGTATCTATAAAAAAAAAAAGAAAAAGAGACTAGTTCTTGCCAATAATATAAGCTTTAATAAGCAAAAGTGAAACCCCCCCCCCATATTCTGGGGTGCTTTTTGAAAGTCTTTTTTTAAAGAATCCTTGAAAGAATAGGCAGAGTATAACTCTTAAATAATAAGAACATCCTAATTCTTTCTAAGAATAACTCATGTAATAAGCAGCAGATAATTAGAAGAAATAGCAGGCATTGAAAAGAAATATTAGATCTCCAAAATTTTAATGTTATATACAAATTATGCAATGCTTTTGATTCTATATTTATGCCAAAAGATATAATCCAGTTGAGACAATTGTATGGTTCTCTTGGGCCACTAGTTACCAATTCACAGAAAATTTGGCTGCTTTCCTAGTTGCTTTTCTATTGCCAGATAGAAATGCTGGCACATTCCATGTACTCAGCCTAACCCCAGATACTCTTAACCAATTTAAGAAGAGATATTTTTAGGGTATGTGATACATATAATTTGGTTGAAGCATAGTTTCTTCTGGATGTCTTTTGAGAAATCATTTTTATTTTGACTACTTTCTAAATGTTGTCTTTAGAAAATTATTTGTCCAACCTACAGCTTCTTTCAACCTCATTACAATTTAGGTACAGATACTGCTTGGGTGTTTTGGAACAGGCATCACTAAAAAATAACTTTATAGGCCTTCTGAAAAGACCAATTCTTGCTTTCCCATCAGGAATTACATTCTTATGATAGCTGGAACTTAATCTCTCACATTTTCTAGTACTGCACAAATTATTTCCTGAAATGGATCTTATTTTCTTATTTACTACCAGAGTGAGCTGTTTCTATGGTGTAGTTAATGGGGGGAAAGAAAAGCTTTTCTAGACATGAACACTTAGGATTTTAAAACCTTCAGTCAGTCCTTAGGTTTATATCTGCATTATATTTCTTAGGAATACTTTCACAGTAAAACACATCTTTTAAGGGTCAAGTGTTATTTTCTATTACCTGAAAGCTTTATTTTTTCATTTTGTCCTCTAGCTCTCATGAAATATCACATCTTAAATACTCTCCAGTGTTCTGAGGCTATCATGGGGGGAGCAGTCTTTGAGACCCTGGAAGGAAACACAATTGAGATAGGATGTGATGGTGACAGCATAACAGTAAATGGAATCAAAATGGTGAACAAAAAAGATATTGTGACAAATAATGGTGTGATCCATTTGATTGATCAGGTCCTAATTCCTGATTCTGGTAAGCAGCAGTTTGTATTTGTTATGTACTATTATTTACCAATTATGGTATCTCATGAAAAAATGCATGTACAATATAAAGAAAAGTATGTGAATTACAAATTCCATGAACAGTGAGCTAACTGGATACTGAACAGGTAGCCTGCATCGTTGTGGGCACTCTATGGGTAGAACTTTGGCTTTCCAGGGTTTCTAACATCTAATGTTTATAAAGGTTCTCATGGTGCCAATTTTTCTTGAAAGCAGGGGAAAGACATAACTAAATGTCTTTGTATAAATGAAAGAGCACAGGATAGAGAGATAATGAGAGGTGATCAATAAACAATTAAAGAAAACTGTTAAGTAGAAAGACAGAAAAGTATTTTCTTTCTGAAAGTTTTTGTGCTTATTAACCCCCTCCCCCAAATGAAAGCTGGAATTCTCTCACTAGAGAATAGCTAAGAATTGATTTACTAATTTTGGTATGAAGTTAAGAGCAATGGTGGCATTGTTTGGATGGTGATGGTTTATTTTGCAGCCAAACAAGTTATTGAGCTGGCTGGAAATCAGCAAACCACTTTCACAGATCTTGTGGCCCAATTAGGCTTGGCATCTGCTCTGAGGCCCGATGGAGAATACACTCTTCTGGCACCTGTGAATAATGCATTTTCTGGTATGTACTGGATGATGTTGTTCTGTTCTCTCCTTACAAACATTTTCTTTTCTTTACCATGATTGTTTGTAGTGAGAAATAATAACTGTTTTGCAAAGTTTTGATTAGTTTCTGCCATGGTTGCACATATAATGTGTTAGCACTGTGTTGTCTCTGCTAAAATAGACTTCATTTCAGAACATTTCATTGTTGTGGATAATAACTTGGGAGGAAAATTTTGTAATAAGGAATAATTCAGTTATTCTCTGAATCTAATACTATTTCTAGCACACCTAAGTTTGCATTATTAGATCATAAGAAAAACAAATCTGTTTATTTGACACCAATATAATATTTAGAAATAAATAGATATATTTTGAACCTCAAAATTTAAACAATAAAAATGTCATGTTATAAATAATAAGAGGCTACTATACAATGCCATACCTTGATGTAAAATATTATCCAAGAATTTCTTTTACCCAATAGGTTCTATTCACAGACAATGTTTAGATTAAGGTAGCCAATCACCAGTTTCAGAAAAACGATCTCAAAAAGATGTATTTAAATCATTAGACAAAATTTAATTTAGCAATCTAAAAATAAGTGGCATACTGCTTTAAGTTTTCCCAATACTAAATTGTGATATAGAAAATTATTAATCAGAAAAAATTCAAATTCCTAGAAATGCTGGTTTTCTTCTTTGTAATAATAATGCTAATATGTTTTGACATTAGCCCAACTTTAAGCGGTTGTGTGCTTTGATTCTCTTTCTGGGACTAAAGATGAATTTACAAATGATTCATCAATAGTCTTTCATGTGACTAATGGACATCAAACTGTCACACAAAACCTTGGCCATCATTAGAATTTAGCTTTTGCCATTGACCACCATAAAACTGTTTCTCTCTAGAGAGATGAAACCCAGTGCTTGATCTGCTTGAAACTATGCTGTAGTCATTTGATGCAACAGGTCATAGAGTTTCTACTGGTGAATTGAATTGCTGGTTTAGGGCACTTAGGTCGATTCACTTATTATATGAATGTAAGATCCATAAATATCAATAGCATCAGGGATTATCTATTTTCATGGTTTCTCTTGTCAGGAGAAACTTTAATATTTTCTTCTTAAAATAATGCTCTTTCTTAATGAAATTATTTGTAGATGATACTCTGAGTATGGATCAGCGCCTTCTTAAATTAATTCTTCAGAATCACATATTGAAAGTAAAAGTTGGCCTTAATGAACTTTACAATGGACAAAAACTTGAGACTATTGGAGGCAAACAGCTCAGAGTCTTCGTGTATCGTACAGTAAGTAAATCAGAAAGAGGAAAAAACTTTACAATGACCTAAATGTCCAATGTCATACAGGTGTCAAAGAATGTTATTACAACAAATCTTTTTCAGAATTTTATGAATGTGGTTTTAATAGTGAGTATTTTTAGGAGGCTTTGGGAACTGATCACTTGGGTGAAAAGACTATGAAGTACAAAGACTACTCAGAAAATCTGCATTTGTTTCATTATAAATGATATCAAGGTCTAAAATATTAATTATTTTAAAATACAGAAAATACTAAAACCCTGCTAAATAAGTTTGTAGAGTACTTTACACTTAAATGTATAGAATGATCCCTTTCGAATGACTTTCAAGATAAACTTGTATAGACACAGAGATTTTTGGACTCTATAAAATGTACTAATGTACCTCTATCAACAAGGAAATTTCTAGAAATATTTTTTACCAAAATTATAATGCATTGAGTGGTACTGTTCACTGTCCAGCTAACACACACAGCTGCATCTAAAAGGTTTCAGAGGAAGTCAAGAATTACCTAGAACTGAACATAGCATGTAGCAGCTGCTCACTGTAGCTTCACAATTCCAAGGCACAGAGATTTTTATTTGTGTACTAAACAGGCCTCACTTTAAATTATACATATACATATATTACATTTGTTCAAAAAGCTATAAATATATCAATGATTTGACTTGCTGTATTACAGTCAAGGAAATACAGGAAATATTTGTGAAGATCGTAAGAAGCATTTAAGTCAGCAAACTTTACAGTTAACGTTAACCAAAAAAAGGATCTGGAGGAATAGCTAAAACCTGGAGAGAAATGACAGAAAATGGAGAAGTGCCATTCTATAGAAATTATGTAATTCATTCACAAAACTACTTGCAATTATGTAATTCGTTCACAAAAGTACTTGCTTCATGCACAGCATAGCTTGACTTACAGTAGAGAACCTGACTGAATAGGAAGTCTGAATTCAGATAGTGTGAGATATTGAAAACAGAGGACAGAAGCTGTTTCCCTGGCCTTTATGGCCAGGTGACTTCTCAGAAGGGCCAATTCAGAAATGTAAGTATGCAATTCAGAAATGTGCAGCTTAAATTTAAGCATGCACATGGGAAATTTCGAGCAAGGAAATGGACACCACATCATTCTTTTTTTCCTAGGCTGTCTGCATTGAAAATTCATGCATGGTTAGAGGAAGCAAGCAAGGAAGAAATGGTGCTATTCATATATTCCGAGAGATAATCAAACCAGCAGAGAAATCCCTCCATGAAAAACTAAAACAAGATAAGCGCTTTAGGTAAGCCTATCAGTTGCACCTCCACACAAGAATGAGAACTTGTGGCATATTTTTTGTTTCACAGTCAGTATCCCAAAAGGCATTCAGTCTCCAGTATTGCTGAGAATAGAATTTAGAATAAGAAGTCCATTCAAATGTTTTCAAAGAATTATGTATAATATAAATGCTTCTTGGCACACCATATTATTTGGTGGGTGAACAAAAAAATCCAATAGGCTGAACTACTCCTTGAAATTTTTCTTGTAATTAGTTTTACAACATAATATACCAGCAAAGACAATTTTGTGGGGGCATTAAATGAAAAAGAAATATTTCAATTTTGTTATAAAATGTGACCTTGTCAAGTTGTATAAGTTTAAAACAGAGACAAAGAAATTTAAACATTGCATTGTGTATTTCGGTCCCTTCCCCATGTTAAAATTTCTTGGCAGATAAACTGCATTTAAAACATGAAAATATGTGAGGAGTTTTTTCACGCTTTCCATAGTACACAGACTTTACTCTATGATATGTGTTTTAGGTGAATATGCCTAAACCTAAATCTAACCAAATAAATGCACATCCTTCCTGCTCAGCATCTTCCTCAGCCTCCTTGAAGCTGCAGACTTGAAAGAGCTCCTGACACAACCTGGAGACTGGACCTTGTTTGTGCCAACTAATGATGCCTTTAAGGGGATGACTAGTGACGAAAAGGAAATTCTGATTAGTGAGTAGAAGGGAATACCAGATACGTGCTCCTTGATTTTAGGATCTCACTTCTTCCTCAAGCTTTCCTGTGCAGACGTCAGTCTAAAAAGAAGTCCCTTCTTTGTATTCATAACTAGTTTTAGTTTGCTTTAATTCCACTTGGGACATGTGGAGAGTCCCACAGGAATGTTCTTCAATAGCTCATTCTCATGTTGTTGAACTAGATGTTTGCTTTTGTTGCTCCTATTAAAGTCCACATAACAGGGTGACAAAGAAGAAAACAGTCATAATTTCAAAAATAATTTGATGTTTTCTCCCAGTAAGTTAGGTAACTGATTGAAATGATTGTATCTCTTAACATAGCATTGAGAATCAACTTGAGAGAACAATGATATTTTGAGAAAATATAACGTGGAATGAAAAAACAAAAGAAAAGTTTTGTTTTTTAGTTTTTGTACTATCAAAATGTCACATTATTAAATAAATATACATCTTTTTCTTCTAGGGGATAAAAACGCTCTTCAGAACATCATTCTTTATCACTTAACACCAGGAGTTTTCATTGGAAAGGGATTTGAACCTGGTGTTACTAACATTTTAAAGACCACACAGGGAAGCAAAATCTATCTGAAAGGAGTAAGTGTCTAGAATAAATTTATGATAGTGTTCACCCAACATTAAATTATCTAAATGTTCATCCTTCATTAAATCTGTCTTTGGCATTACCCTCTGTTTTGATAGGTAAATGACACACTTCTGGTGAATGAATTGAAATCAAAAGAATCTGACATCATGACAACAAATGGTGTCATTCATGTTGTAGATAAACTCCTCTATCCAGCAGGTTGGTAGTTACTGAACTCACTAATAGGTTAACTCTTTTTTAATATAAATCTAGGATTTTCATTTTACCCTTTCTTACTAATATGCATTTCCTCTTCATAGACACACCTGTCGGAAATGATCAGCTGCTGGAAATACTTAATAAACTCGTCAAATACATTCAAATTAAGGTATAGGACATTATTGTTTTTATTTTGTATATGGAACAGATACTGAAGGTTTACTATAAGAGACTAGAAATGTATACACTGATAAGTAAGCATACACTGGACATGGATTGTTCCTTTTTGCTTATGTGCCACAGGGCCACCTTGAAAGAATTGACATTGCATGATTTTGTTTAACAAGTATTTATTAAAAGCTACTTAGGGCCAAGTAGTGCATTAAGTGTTATGGAAAATATGAAGTTGAACCAGATATGGTCTTTATTCAAAAATTTTAGCCTACTTAGGAAAATAAGACATACATAAATAATATCTTTCTGTCATCAAATACCTTCACTGCTGAGTATAAAGATAAGAAATTCATTTATAAAATATTATCAGTAATCCCATGTGAAAGGCAAATAAATATTTTATTCTTTTGTCATTGTAGGAATAAAATAGCCAAAAAATACAATAGTATTTAATAAATATATTTAACCTTGAATTAATTATTACATAATTTTTAAACTCTGAGTAAAAAGCCTATGATTTTTATGCTATCTGGCCTGATAGGAAGGAATTGGAAGATAATTTATATGCAGGCTTCATTTCTCTTTAAGTGTTATGATAGCTGTACTGTTTTTACTTTAGTGAGAATTAAAGCAGTGCTATAGTTTTGTTGACACAACTACCAATTTTCATGTTACTAAATGTAAACATTTCTTTCCAGTTTGTTCGTGGTAGCACCTTCAAAGAAATCCCCTTGACTGTCTATAGTAAGTAAATGATGAATATTTGTCACATAAGTGGCAAAATGCAAAAAAAAAAAAAAAGAACCAAATCACTTTTTTGTATTTACAGATATTGATAATCTGGTATTTAGAATTTCAAACAATGGCAAATGCTATTCCACTTGAAACAGGGCTTGAGTTCTGGATCAGGCCTCTCAGGTTTGGCTGTATCATTAAACTTTGATGAACTCTTTTTCCACATTGGAAAACACAGAGTGAAATAATATAGGAAAGGCAATAAAATATAATACTACTATGACAAAGAGTCAGAAAAAAAGATGACATACAGAGGGAAGATTCACTATTAGGCTGTCCAGAGGTCTCTGGAAATTCAGAAGTGTGGACACACAAATGACATTGCTGAAAATTTGTTTCTCACTCTGCCTTTGAGCCCTGAACTGTCTGAAGGGGAGGGTGGGAAGTGTGTGCCAGAACTCTCCCCATCCAAAACTGGACAAAGGAACAAAATTCTGTCAAGTGATAACTCTATAGTTTCCAAATCCCAAGATTGTTTTTTAATCCCTGACATTACCAGATTATCAAAATTAATTGTCTACTACTTAACAATTCTAAAGGGCATTTCATTCTCATAAATGTAGTTTGTAAGGTATGGTTTTCATGGGGGCTTTTTCTTCCTTGTCTCTTTTTTTTTGTCTCTTTTTTTCTCTTTTTTGTCTCTTTTTTTCATTGTAGATTTCAAAGCAGAACTTCTTTTCATTTTGTTTTGGCTCTGTAATTTAAACACTCAAAATATATCAGTAGCTAAAACATTTTTTAATCCTCATATTTACTCTGGCTAGAAAATTATTCTATTGAGTATTGAGTTATTTAATAAGAAAACTTCTATTAAAATTTACAGTAGATATGAAAAAAGGAGTAAAACCAACATAAGGAGCAAAACAAAATGTCTACTGCTCTTGTTGATTTCAATCATATAATAACATGTACAATTTCAGTATGAGGCCAGCTCAGAACTGTTTTAAAGATATAATGGGGAGAGTTATGATTCAGCATGGTAAATGGAAGTATAAAATTTTCTCAAATATATATTTTATAACAAATTGAAGAATTCTTATGGCTCTATTCATCAGACGTGTTATGTCATTTTTATATATCAAAAATATATGTATTATATGTATATATCTGCACTACTTTCCTTTAACTTTTTTACTTTATCCATGCTAATTCCACTATTTTCTACATATGTCAATTCAATGTTTTGTTTATGATGAGCTGAAATACTATGATAATTCCTTTATTCTTTCCTACTAAATTGTATCCTCACTCAACATAAACTATGTTTTTTGAAATAATGCAAATCTAATGACTTCCCTGTCTACTTGAGGGAGCCCTTGAGACAGCTCTAATATTTACATTCTAATGGGCAGTGTTTCTTTTATTCCTCCCAAGATGGATATTCTGTTATTAAGAAGCATTTTCAAATACAGGTAGAGACAAATTAAACCAAATTTTCTATTTTTATGTTCCTTTATTGATTTGGCTCTGAAATTCCCTTAATCTCCTTGCTACATATTTTTCTTATTCCCAAAATAACATACACTTTAAATTGTATCTTTGGAGGAAAGGATATTCTTTAATGTAAGTGTCAAATATAGAACATTTGAGCTAGAGTAGACCAAAATTAGTATTGGATCTTCAGATATGACCTGTGAAAACTATTGAAGCATTCAAGAAAGCATGATTGAAATGGAGCTACCAACCAATGAAACATCGTAAATTTCAAGTTCTGTAACATAATATAAAAAAATTAAACTAAAAGTAATTAACTCATTTTGATAGTAGTAGCAGAGACCTCTGTGCATTCAACCTTCATGGGAAGGTCCCTCTGTGCCAAAACCACCTCTGGAATCAATAATTGAAGACACAGATTTGATATATTTTAGAGCTTCATAATTTGGATCTCAAAATATAAAATCTAGTATGATGGAGACATAGTTCCTACTAAGGCCTAGAATCTACTTTAATTCAAAAAGGTGACATGGCTAGAAACCTTAGAAACAGAATGGGAGAGCTGACAGAAACCAATCTATGCAAACCTCTTGCCTCTGATGTGTCAACTCAGTATGTTGTAAGTGCTCAGTTGGCTCATTGTTTAGTGGAACCACCTTTTATGATTTTTTGATAAAAAGGACAAAAAGCCAATAGTCCTGGTTGTATGGCTCCAGAGACACATTTCTAGTTAATCTGTCCAGTTTATTTAAAATAGAAAGCCAGGGTCAGTGCCAGCCACATACACTGGAGCTCGTGGGTTCAAACCCAGCCCAGGCCTGCCAAACAACAATGACAACTACAAGAAAAAAAAAATAGCTGGGTATTGTGGCGGGCGCCTATAGTCCCAGCTACTTGGGAAGCTGAGGCAAGAGAATTGCTTAAGCCCAAGAATTAGAGGTTGCTGTGAGCTGTGACGTCATGACACTCTACTGAGGGTGACTTAATGAGACTCTGTCTCAAAAAACAGAAAAATAATAAAATAAGATAAAAAAGAAATCTAAATAGTTGATTTCTGTTTTAAATAAACTTCACACACTATTATCTTTCTTGGGTAGATGGCATACACTTAAAATATGTACCTTTAAGTTTTTAAAGAAAATGGTAATAATAATAAAGCCAAAAATTAAAGACATTTATGATGTAACTTAAATACTGATCATATCATATTTGTTGAATAGAGCTCATGTCTGGCTGGCTGAAATATATTCTTACTTTTAAGTAATCTGAACTATGGCATTTTTTCATTTCTATGTCACTGTTATCAAATGCATGAAAAACATTTTAGGTCTTTTTCTTTTAATTGAAAAAGAATCCAACAATGCAATTTAAGATATTATGAATTGCATGACATTAATCATGTTTGTCTTTTGTTGCTATGCAGCCATATTTTCCAGAAGTACAAATGAAGGTAAAGAGCTTTAGTGGTATAGTTCAAAACTATAGGTTTCTAGATGGAATTTCTCACTTAGTAATATAATATTCCACTGGACTTCAGAGTTCAACTTCCGAACATGAGAAGATATTAGATTATGTACTATGAATATTTCCTATATCTGACTTCCTGAGTATATTACCATATCTGCTAACTTAGCACCCTGAAAAAACAAACAAAAAAAAAAAAAAAAGGAAAATTTTGTTCAGGTTGTTTTTCTGTAAACATCATTCATCTTCCACTTTCTATACTTTCAGCAACTAAAATTATAACCAAATTTGTGGAACCAAAAATTAAAGTGATTGAAGGCAGTCTTCAGCCTATTATCAAAACTGAAGGTAAAAGTCAATGTTATACATGGTTCCTTTTATTGTAGAAAAAAACATAAAAATACTGATATCAATGAATGTGTCTTACATTCTTTTTGAAACTAACATGCTAAATATTTCTATTCCAATGGCATGCTTATGTAATTGCAGAATGCGGAGTGCAAATTATTTAGCAAAGTAGATGGTGCATTCCTAATACTTTCAGTACATTTGCTTGTACTTCATTTAATTTGAATCTAACTGACTTTTCATTAGCACTAGCACACAGATAGTCACCAAAGAATTCAGTCCTGAGCTCTTTTACTCTTTTACTATGGTTAGATGCTTCTTTTATTGCTTTGTTTCCAATCTCTGCACACGATCCCTTTTGTACTGTTAAACCAACTCTTTAAAAAAAATGCAGGCATTTTTCATTCTGCAAGCTAAGAGAGCATAGAAATTGTACATTGATAAAAGCTTTCAAAGTACAACCCCATATGATATATTTTAAAATTAAAACATTAGAACCAGAGGAAGAAATAAGCATTTTGTGCAGTGAGTCAACCTTAGACTATTTAACAGTTCTGAACGTGTTCTTATATGTGACATATCACATATATGTGTATTTTACATATGTGTGTTATATACATATACACATATATGTGATATACATGTATCTGTACATGTATACACTTATCTTGATGTTTCAGACTGGAACATTTAAATAAGCAGTGACTTTTCTCTCTATCCTTACTGTCTATGTTAGCCAACTTCAACGTCTTTGATGTTATGCTGATTTCATGTATTTCATTTATCTCCAAAAATCAGACCATAAGAATTTTTATTTCCATGTTTAAGCATCTTAATGTAGTGACATGACACAGAGAAAAGACCTTTTTATCTTCTTTATTCCATAAGAATAAAAACAGTGTTCCAAAAAAGTAACAGATTATACCTTTGATTAAATCTCAGAAAAACTATTCTTGTAATTACCTTTGATTTTGACATTTCTTCTCATTCAGGGAATTGAGATGGCAACTTCTTGAATACTTTTGTCTATACCTTTTAAAATGAGCCATAACTTAAAATGAACACATTGAGAACACATAAGGTTCCTAGTTAATTGGTTATGTACATCATTATTCATTCTTGAGATCTAAAATTAATTTATTCTTTGAAATCTGTGAGTTTTGTTAATTATTATTCTTATAATAGTCATTTGAATCATTTTATATATGGATAAAGAGAATTTGGTGTTTTAAGGCAAAATTAAATCACAGAAACTTTTGTTGAAAAACATTTCTTAATTATTTTTATGAAAAATGACACAATGATATTTGACAATACAATTGATTTTTAAATTCTTATACTGTTTTGAAAAATCAGATTTTGTATTATAGTTGTTTGTAGCTTCTTTACCTGAAGTCATTTACATGTGCCATTTTTCTTATTTTCAAAAATGTTTCTCTCTTCCTTCAAGTTTCTTCATTTAGCTCATCTTCTCAACCTGTGTCAGCAGAATTCTATCCTATTAATCTTTTTTTGATTAGTTGATTACAGTTGATGTGGAATATCATCAACTGTACTTGGCTTCTTCCTATAGAGGAAACATGGATTCAAAAATGGGCCATATTACCTTTTCACCAATAACTCTTGAGTTCAAAGATTCAGTAATTTTACTTCTGTGTCACCTAATGTAGGAAACAAATATTTGTCTTGACAGCCATTTGTAATTCTCCAGCTTCAGAGATTGTTATTCCATTTCCTTCTTACTGTTTGAACATTTGCGCATTCATTGATGACTTTCAAATTCTTACTAAATACAGTAGGCTCCAAGACACAGTTTTAAAATGTTCCTTATAAAAGGTACTTAACCAAATTTTACAATTAAGAATGAATCAATGAAAATTCAATCCAAAATAGAGTTATCAAGCGCCAATTGTGCTGGGTACTCTCCTAGATGCTGGGAATAAATAGGAAAAAAATTTATAAAATGCCCTTCTTCATAGAGCTTGACTATAAAAGATGTTTCTGAAATTTTAGTTTGGCTTTATACAGAAATACGAGCTTAAGTATTTTTATTAACTCATTTCTTGTTCTTAAACTCCTGAGGTATACTTTCTCTACACCTTAAAAACATGACCTTATGTCTTATACTCAATATTGCCTGGCCTCATAGATCAAACTTTATGGCATGAAATATTCATTATTTGAAAGAACTGTACTCTTATTTTCATTATTTTTGTTATTATAGAATATTTAGTTTTGGGAATGATACTCATTGACAATTTCTACACAGACAAAAACATTACCTCAAAGATAAGCAAATACAGTTACATTTGACTGTTGAAGGGTCTTATAGTATGAGTTAAATGTACTGAACCTTATTTTCTTACTTCTATATGACATAGTCTTGATTAACTAATGTAGCAAGCAGCTTTCTAACATTCAAAATGATTTTCTCTGGGAGCAAAATCATTTTGCAAACCAAATGCAACATTTATTTAACTTTGGCCTTTGAAGAACTGTTTAACTGTTAATTAGCTAGTTTTGTATTATTCTCACAGAGAAGGTAAGTACCCAAATCCATTTTCCTATAAGACCTCAAACTCAGCATCTTAAAGGTAAGTATAAAATTATGATTTTCTTATGTACAGTCTTGTGGTTGCTAGAACAAAAATGCAAGGTAGTGAGTGATTTATAAATCTGAAATGAAAATTTTTGGTAATTAAAGAGTAATAGATAATATCAGTATGCTAAAGTAAGATCAATACCAGTTATCACTAGAGCAACTCAAATGTGTACATAGTACTGCATGATTCACAAAATTTAGCCACATACAATATTTTGTGTGATCAGACCTAATAAAATTACCAATGAATGGGTGGATTTATACATATGTTTAAACCCTGAAACAGATTATAGTAATTTTAGTAGCATACCAATAGACAGAGTCATTTGTTCTCATAAATATTATCTAATTTGAAGACAATGAGAAATTTTAGAATGAATTTCATATAGAGAGCCTGAAACTAGCTGGACATTTAAGTAGCACCAAAAGTTGGAATAAATTTCCTATTTTGGTAAATTTAAAAGCCTGATTTAACAAGGTAATTTGTCTTCTAAAATAATGTCTCAGGACCCACAATAATAAAAGTCAAAATTGAAGGTGAACCTGAATTCAGGCTGATTAAAGAAGGTGAAACTGTAACTGAAGTGCTCCATGGAGGTGCATTGTGTATATTTTCTGGTGTCTACTTAGTATCACTGTGATTATTTTGAAATACTATTGGCTTAGGAATACTGAACATCTGATATTTTCTCTTGGTTTTAATTTTACAGAAATTGAGGGAGTCATTTTCTCAGTTGTGGGACAATTATTAGCCAGTAAGAAATAAAATATAGTTTGCCTTTTAATGGATCTAGGTGAGATTCATTTAACCATTAAGCCACCCCAGATCCAACAAAGCTGTCATCTACATATGACGATTATGAATTATGATGACAATACTGACATTAGTACAACTGGACATATTGGACTCAAAAATAGAAGAGAAATAGCCATTGTATAAGACTCTAAACACCACTATGAAGATTTATTTTCGGATTCCCTTCCAGTGAAGTGTATATATGTATCCTTAGATTTTCATTGAATACACATTCCACACTCAGGAAACAAGAGTGATGTAAAGAGTTAGCTTATCATGGGGTGGCACCTGTGGCTCAAAGGAGTAGGGCGCCGCTGGCCCCATATGCTGGAGGTGGCGGGTTCAAACCCAGGCCCGGCAAAAAAAAAAAAAAAAAAAAAAAAAGAGTTAGCTTGTCAGCTGGCCCTCTCCATCACCCAAGATTTGGGACATCAATATTTATTAGCTTTTAAACCTATATTAATCTGACTTTATTTGAGCTATGCTCCCAAAATGATTATTATTGATTCTGAAATGGCAATATTTTAAGAAGTATACTTAATCATTAAAATGTATAGCTAATGCAAGTATAGACACCACATAAGAATAAATCAATGCGTTTTTCAACCCCTAATTTCAGAGCCAATTATTAAAAAGTACACCAAAATCATTGATGGTGTACCTGTGGAAATAACAGAAAAAGAGACATGGGAAGAACGGATCATTACAGGTAGTCTTTAATTTCATACACAGATATATGCTCAGATTATAAACATCAAATAATAGTTCATTCTCAGTTATCTGTAAATGAATCATTGAAGATACTGACTAAGTAATTTTAATGATTGTTACTGAAATTACTTCATTTCTTGTCTAGAAGAAATTATACTATTCTAAATAAGTAATCTGTTCTATGGTAAATTGGATATTTATAGGTAATTCTGGAAGCATGTGTTTTTGTTATGTGTTTGCATTCATATTATATGATATACCCTCTTTACTTTACTGTTTATTAACGAGTTGTTGAATCCTAAAAGAAAAACTATTCCCTCCTTCAAGGTTTCATTACTCTTAAGGTCTATACATCTATAGACAAAAGATATGAAAGTTCATATAAAACAACTTACTGATAATTTTAATAAACCTTTGCATCAGTCTGTGCCTAAAAATTATGAATTCAGCTATTCCTGTAAGTATTGGTTCAAACAATTATTCAGCAACTATGCCCTGTGCCAACTGTTCATGTAAATAAAGTTTTATTGGAAAACTTTATGTTTTGTTCAGTCATGTTCACTCATTTACATAATGTGTATGGCCACTTTTATACTAGAACAACAGAGTTGAACAGTTGCTACGTAGACAACATGGTCCACAAGTGTAAAATACTTACCCTCTGTCACTACACGAAAGAAATTTGCCTTCCTCAGTCTTAGACCTTTTTTTTTTTTGAGACGGAGCCTCAAGCTATCCCCCTGGGTAGAGTGCCATGGCATCACGCTCACAGCAACCTCCAACTCCTGGGCTCAATCAAGTCTCCTATCTCAGCCTCCCAAGTAGCTGGGACCACAGGAGCCTGCCACTACACCTGGCCAGTTTTTGTTTGCAGCCATCATTGTTGTTTGGCGGGCCCGGGCTGGGGATTCGAACCCGCCACCTTAGGTGTATGTGGCTGGCGCTTTAGCCGCTTGAGCCATAGGCGCTGAGCCTTAGACCTTTCTTAATTGTATTTCTTTTAGGTCCTGAAATAAAATACACTAGAATTTCTGCTGGAGATGGAGAAACGGAAGAAACTCTGAAGAAATTGTTGCAAGAAGGTGAGTATATCCAGACAAATAAATTTACATAAGCTGTCCATATCCAAGCCTAAAATAATCTTTGAGGCCTTGTACGTGTTTTCTACTCTAATTCTGTAGTCCAAGTTTCACACAACATTAAAAAAGCCTGAAAATATGGAATGGAGCATAAATTACAGCCGTATTTGTTTTATTATACAGTATAATGTTCAACAGTTCTATAAGAAAATTAGTGAATCAAAAAACAACACTAACAACTGTGGAAGACCTAACTTGGTCTGGAATGCCTTATCTGGCAGATGCCATTATTTATCACATCAAATCTGCTGTGTTTTTTGTTGTATAAACCAATTTCTGCTATACACATGTATCCTCTCAGAAGTCACCAAGGTTACCAAATTCATTGAAGGTGGTGATGGTCATTTGTTTGAAGATGAAGATATTAAAAGGCTGCTTCAGGGAGGTTAGTAAAAGGATGACAACTAACATCCTTAACAGGTTCTGGTGACAATTCTTCAACTTTTTAAAGACTGAGCAAGCAGATCTTTCTTTTA